TTGCCAGATCTCACCGGTCTCAAACTCGTTTGAGTCGCGAGGGAGGTGTTTCTGGCCAAATGTGTGGGCTTTTCCGCCGTTTAGAATTAGCCACCAAAATGAAATTCACGCGAATGACCTCGTCAAACTCTCTTTGGCTACTCTTCAGAAATAGGCTGGACTTTTACAGCTATCTCCAACACCGCCACCACAAGGGAGAAAATAAACAAGGAGAGAAGATGACAATCCCGATGCGAGCGGATGCGACTATATAATAATGATAGTGATAATAATGATGATGCTGAAAGTGACAATGGTGATAATGATAATATTAATAGTAATAATAAAAGAGAGATGAGGAATTGCGCATATGCATATTAGGAAATAGATAATGTTATGATTTGTTTCAAATTAGATCTCTTTCTGATTCGCTCCTCACCAAAACCTGTCGGCCTGATCTGGACGATACGAAAGCAAGATTGAAAATAACGTATTGCTCTTCACGCAGGTGCTATGAACGCCTCATCCGACTCACAAAGCACCTCCACCCCCCAAAAAAATTTAAACGTTTGAGTTGATCAATAAAGCAAAAACATGATGAAACGACTGGGTCATGCATCCACCCTGACTGTTTACATGAACCCGCTCGGTGTTCCTCAAGTCAGTTCACAAGCAATTCACAGCGGTTTCTCAGTCAACCAATCTGACGCAAGCTTCACTGCGATGCCAGTACACGACGACGTTTTCCATCTTCGAAATCAGATTCCTTTGCCCACAAGAATCGCCTTATTCGCTTGCAAGAGGTATTTTACCTTGATTGCATTGCATTCATTGGTAATATAGATAATTTTATTTTAACATCTCTTGTTTTCATGTCGTTCTTTCTCGCCGGCAATATGTAGTTTGAAAAAAAAAAACAACTTACCTCATGGACGTCTGTACGTTAAAAGAATCTCGTGAGGAAGCCATATTGTTTTTATGCTGACAAATTAACGCAAAATCACGGCGACCACGAGATTTGAGAAAATATAAATATAAAGTGTACGAAAGACGTGGAGAGGGGGAAGTTAGTCTACAAACGACCAGACAATACGGCAAATACAACATCTGCACAATGAACTGTTGTTTTTCTGTTGTTACTATTGCAACCATACGCATTATATAACTAGTATAAAAATAGTATCGCATTATTAAATTGATATCGTTGTCACTTTATAATACAGGGGTTTCCAAACTTTTCTGATTCATCACCCATGTTCACATGGTAAAATTTTCCACCAATCACCTGTATAGTAAATATTCAAAAGCATACCAACATTCTTTGGTAAAAGTTTGTTACAGGGTCATAAACTAACTTCATGATGTAGTAAAAAATATCAAAGGGAGGTAACAAATACGTTGACGTATACGGCCGCTGCTGCTGCTACTGCCGCATTAAAGAACAAACGAAAGCAAATTATTTACATTATTCAGACTATAGTCCTCATCTTTGTCGCCATATTTATTACAACGTTTCGGCCGTTGTACGCCCCGGCCTTCTTCAGGTGGTTGGAATGTCGAACTGAACCATTTATTTCGTTCACTGGGGTAGACTGTTCTAGTTCCACGTGCCATGTTTGTTTATTTTATGGATGTCAGTTATCAGTTATCTCCTGTTAAGTTTCCCCTGAAAGTTCTCCACTGCCTTAACCGGGTATTGAACTCACACTCTTCGAGTCCTGTCACTGGATCTAACTAACGCCTAAATATGGCGACATAGATGAGGACAATAGTCCGAATAATCTAAATAATGTATATAATACCTCATCTCAGATATATAGACAGAACATGAAAGCAAACTTAACCATTGAAAACTATCTATGAGATAACGATATATATTTTTATATAAAAAGAACAATATTGGGGAAATTTTATGACAAAGTGGAAAATGTTTTCCCTACGTTTTCCTTAAAATTATAGAAATAATTTGGTTCCATAGTCAATTTTAGTTGTATGGTTAAGGTTCGAGTTGCAAGTGTTGACAAAAGATTAAACGATATTTTTCATAATTATTAAATTAAAAAGGAAATCCTTTTTGTTTCATTTCTCTTAAAACCTTTTACTCACATGTTCTTGTTATTCTCAGCATCCTTCTGTAGAGCTACATTTTTATTGCTTCAAGTTTATTTTTCACCTGCAAGGAGACTGATCAGCTTTTGTAGCATATAGGACGATCGATATTTCATAACAGTTCACTTTTGCTTAATACTTTGCTTAGCTTTTGCAAGACATCTTTCACTGTTCCAATGCTACTTCGGATTTCAGTATCACATTTTTCCGATCTTTGTTAAGACATATCCTAGATATTTAAATTTTCGTACATGCATGATTTTAGTGTCTTCAAATCGTAGTTGGCATCTTGGGTTGTTCCTCAACAACAGAGTCTATTTTTTACAATCGATAGTTAGTCCTTTCTTCTGGCTTTCATTTACTACCTTCTCTAGGAGTTCTTGTACTTTCCTTTCTGTATCTGCTATCAACACTCTGTTATCTGCATAATTAATGTTGCTTAAATTCAACCTATCCTGGCAGCAAACCTCCTACATACGGATAGAATAGGAGAGAACCAGATGCACAAAAATAGAAAGGGGTGTAAGACAAGAGTGTGTCTTCTCATACAGGGAGGCGATTCCGAAAGAATTAGAAGTCCTATCAGAACAAACATTAGTCCTACCAGGATAGGAAGGATATCTAATTCTTTCAGAATCACCTCGTTGTATAGGTTGAATAAGTCCGGTGAGAAGATACATCCTTGTCTTACATCCCTTTCTATTTTTGTACATTTACTTCTCTTCTATTCTATCCGTATGTAGCAGGTTTGCTGCCAGGATAGGTTCTTGGTTATTCTAAGATATTTGCGAAATATGTCAAGGTCGCTAAACATTTTTATTTGACCGAGCAGTCGAGTAACGCGAAAGATGTTCACTGAAAAATGTTTATTTTACATTTTCTCTAAAACTTCATTACTGTTCATATGTTCAGTCCATGTTATTCTCAGCATCCATGTAGGCCCATATTTCTGCTGTGTAAAGTTTCTCCTCCATCCATCCACTTCTATATAGGAGAAACAGTATATTACATAACAGTTCAGTACTCTCTTTTTTTTTCTAACAAAATTTTCCTGTGTCTTAATACTATTTTTAACTTTTGGAAGGCATCTTTTGCTATTCCAGTGTGTTTTGGGGGTTTAGTATCTTACTTTCTGTCCTCTTTTGAAAGACCTAAATAGTTAAATGTTTGTATTTGCTTGACTTTTCATAATTCTCATCTTGGGCTGTTCCTTTTGCTGACAGCTATACATTCTGTCTTCTTGCAATTGATAGTTAGTCCTTTCTTCTGGCTTTCCTTTACTACCTTCTCTCGGAGTTTTTGTAGTTTCTTTAATTTGTTTACTATCAACTCTTTCATTTGCATATGTTATTTTAAGATTATGGCTACCTATATTGAATTTTAATAAGACTTTAAATTTTCTCAGGATTGCTTTGATGTAAAGGTTGAATAAGTCTATTGAGAAGCCACATCCTTGTCTTATTCCCCCCGACATCTTTGCTAGCAGAGGATGTCACTGAGTATGTTTTGTGCAAATCTTTCAGGATTATTAATACTAGTTATATCTAAACTATTATCCTCATCCTTGTTGTTTCCTTTCAGTGTCTCTTATCAACACAGTGTTATCTGTAGAGAAGTATTTATTACTAGTGATAAAAAGAAATTAAAAAAAATGATAAGATAATCTAAGGAATTGAGCTGGTATCTATATATAATAGCAGCTCACACTGAAAGACAATGTGGGTGGTAGTTAAGTTCTCTTCGACCGACAAAGCTCCACTGCAAGTTTTGTTTGTTTTTGCTGTTTCTCTCTGAGAATAGAAATGATATTTTTTTCGACTTGAAACATAAACGAAACAAACAAATCATTTATTTGTCCAGGTAAGTTAGTGACCTCCGAACGAATCAAATTACAACCAGATTCGAGAAGAAGAGTCGGAAGTGACCAGGTGTGTGTGTTGGCAGGAAACACGGTATATCCCCTTTCGGTTGGCCAGTTGACAAGTAGAACGTTCGCGCTTCTTTAGATTACAGGTGGGATTCAAGTTAGCAACCAGCGTATACAGTCTTCTCGTATGTCTTTTTATTGTAAGTGAAACGTAGTTGACAACACATTATGGCTTGTTGGTAGATCACAGGTTCGATCCTAGTTATGGGGCGTGTAACATGAGTTTCTATAAGGCTTACGGCAATATCACGTTGAAACACCGGTTAATATACGATCTTCCAAGTTAAGCAATGTCGATTCTGGTCAGTACCTAGATGGGTAACCACTTGAGATTACCAGGTACTGTAAATTTAGATGTGAGGATGGTATGGCTTACTGCCATATCACGTTGAAACACTGGTTTCCGTGTGATGACTGGAATAAACTGTTGTGGATTCCTGGATGAAATCCGGTACCAAATAAATAATAAACGCCAAGAAGGAATATAGGAAAATAAATGTATTAACGTAATAATACAAACTGGTAATGCAGGTTAGTAGTTCCAGGAATGCGGGTTAGTAGCAAAATATCTACACAGTCTTTGGTATTGAAGTATCGCTGTATGACTTCTTACTGAGGCTACGTGCTCGCTACTTTCGCTCTGTCTGTCTGTCTGTCTGTCTCGCTCTCTGTGTCGCCCTGTCTGTTCTGTGTGTTCTGTTGTCTCGAGTCTTCATGTAGCAGTAGTATATGTATATACTGTGTGAGTCCATTTCTGTAAAAAGGGGAGGACCCCTCAATATAAATCCTGCCCAGTACCTTGATGGGTGACCGCTTTGATTGCTGTAAGCTTGTATGTGCGAGTGCATAGCGACCATATCAGGTTGAAAACCGGTTCCCGTACGATCTTTCAAGTTAAGCAATGTCGAACCTGGTCAGTATCTAGATGGGTTATAACTTGGGATTACCAGGTGCTGTATGCTTGGATATGTGTGTGGTATGGCTAACGACAATATCACGTTGAAACACCGGTTCCTATACGATCTTCCAAGTTAAGCAACGTCGATCCTAGTCAGTACCTAGATGGGTAACCACTTGAGACTACAAGGTGCTGTAAATTTGGATGTGCGGATGGTATGGCTTACGGCCATATCACGTTGAAACACTGGTTTCCGTGCGATGACTGGAATAAAGCCTGGCCAGTACCTAAATGGGTGACCGCTTTGATTGCTGCAAGTTTGTATGTGCGAGTGCGTGGCGACCATATCAGGTTGAAAACCGGTTCCCGTACGATCTTTCAAGTTAAGCAACGTCGAACCTGGTCAGTATCTAGATGGGTTATAGCTTGGGATTACCAGGTGCTGTAAGCTTGGATGTGTGGGTGGTATGGCTTACGGCCATATCACGTTGAAACATTTGTTCTCGTACGATCGCCGGATTTGAGTAACGTTGAAAACTGACCAGTATTTAGATGGCTGACCGCTTGGGATTGCTAGGTTCTGTAAACTTGGATGTGCGGGTGGTGTGTTGGATAATGGCTCGGGAATTGTTAATCGGAGAGCCGAAATCTAATTCCCGTTGGATTCATTATATCCAATTGCGCGCAAATACACTTGGGAAATATATGGATCCAGCTCTTCTACCTCCCAGCTATGGGTTAATTAGTAAAACGTGTATCAAAAAAAAAAAAAAAAAAAATCCAAAGAATCTAAAAATATTTTCTGGCTTTAAATAATTTGTAAAGGGTTGATAAACCGTAAAAAAACTAATCAATCGTACAAACCAATATTTTTCGAATATTACTCTGGCCTTCGGAATAACATCATTTCAATTAATTTTACGTGTCTATGTACAAATTCATCTCTTGATTGAAGTTTTCAAGCTGGCCACATTGGTGTAGCGTCCTTACGTTCCATCAATTGCAAGAAGACATAAACTATGGTCAACTATAAACGTCTATAGTCTATAGTGAAACGTTTGTTAAAACGTTTCACTATAGACTCATTAAAAATAGATTTTAACATTAAATGAGCCAGCAGAGGTTGATGTGTTGTCAAATCCACTGGAAGATAGAAAAATGATGTTCACATCAGGAGTCTGATGCTTATCCATGGGACTCAAGTGAAAACAAGTTTCTTCAATTCTCCAGCACCTTCCTCAGTATCCAAAGTTTTATGCAAATTTCAGGAATTTGCATGTGTCCGTGTTATGCTAGAACATTACCTATTCTATTGTAATAGACTCTCCCACACATAATAAGTAGTAGTAGTAGCTGCGGTCGCCAGTTGGGCTCAGTGGAGTTGAGTGAGTCAGTCGATGTCGGACATTGAAGTATCAACCATCACAACTAGATTGCTGCGTCATTAACTATTATTGCAAGTTCCTAACGTTTTGTACGTCGGACCCTTTTTGGACCGACTTATTGAAATACAAGCCTCCACTGTGAAAACTACTTTGCAACACTCTGGTGGTTATCATTGGGGATCCAGTGACAAGAATTTTTTTCCATTGTCTAGTACCTCCCTCAGAAACACAAGTGAAATTCAAATTACTAGTCAAAAATGAATAATGGTTAACAAAATTTTAACGGAAAAAATTCCAGATAATAATACTACTAATAATACTATGGAAAGAAAGCAATTGAAATGAAGAGAAAAAAACCCAAGTCAAAAAGGAATAACGCTTGACAAGGCTTCCTCTAATAAAAATAATTCTAATATCACTATTACTAATACTACTACTGGAAATAAAGCAATTTAATGCTTGACAAGGCTTCATCTAATCCAAATTGCAGATAATATTACTACTACTACTAATACTACTAGTAGAAATAAAGTAATTGAAATGAAGATGAAAGAAATCCTAGTCCAAAATGAATAATGCTTGACAATGCTTCATCTAATCAAAATGGCAGATTATATTACTACTACTAATACTACTATTAGAAATAAAGTAATTGAAATAAAGATGAAAGAAATCCTAGTCCAAAAATGCATAATGCTTGAAAATGCATCATCTAATTAAAATTTCAGATAATATTACTACTACTAATATTACTACTCTAAATACTACTGCTGTAAATAAAACAATTCAAGTTACAATGAAATGTTTGGCAAAGAAACCGGTTTTATTTTCCAAAGCGTGGCTCTTCCCTCATAAAAAGTTAAAAAAATGTATCGATTCCTGTCGGAAGCAAAAGCTTTATTTTTAGGACTTCATAACTTAGGCTGTTATTATTAATTTCATTGTTTAAAGAAAAATAAACAGGAATAGCAACTCAAATATGTGTAAACAAAAAAAGGTAACATTTAAAATGAAAATAAATAATAGATAAAAAAAACAACCTTTTATTTCTCACTCCAACACATACACTCTCATTAAAATTTTGTTTTTATACTCGGAGTTATAACTTCCGAATTCTTTTTGAATTTGTAGGTCTGATGAATTGGATCGTGATTACGATTACAATGTAATAAATTATAACCATGGAATATTAGTGTTTGAGCCTTTTTATCATATATATACTTATATATATATATATATATATATATATATATATATATATATATATATATATATATATATATATATATATATATATATATATATATATATATATATATATGTACATTGACCACAAATATTATCAATATCTATCTATATATATATTGCTCAATCCAATTCGGTTGAAGAGCAATATATATATATATATGTGTGTGTGTGTGTGTGTATATATTGCCCTCCAACCGAATTGGATTGCGCTCTCTAGGCCATTGACGTATTTCGCATAGTAAACGGCAAAATTTCCCTAAGGGTAGAATCTCTGACTAATACCAAATCGGTTGGGTTTCGCACCCGGCTTGATGCAATCGGACGTCTCGCCACACTGGAACGTTTTGATACAGCGAAACAGTCTGCATGTGGAAGACTGTCTATCTATATATATATATATATATATAGTAAAATTTATCACCACTTCAACATTTTCTACTTGTTCAGTGCAGTCATCAGGAGGTTTCAGGTTCAGATTGTACGAGAATAAATTTAAACGCTGTTATTAAACATCGAGAAGCGTTTTCTTACCACTAGTACTAAAGCGCTATGTTATATCCACACACTCACATAATCAATCTATCTATCTATCTATCTATCTATCTATCTATCTATATATATATATATATATGTCTTGAAATGGAAATTGTCCGACAATTATTTAATATATTTTTATACGTTATTTTTCTAGATACAAATAATTTTAATTAAATGCTCTGTTTCTAATGAGACAGTATTAATTAAATTTACCGAGCTGAATGTTCGAGAAATTCCGTAGAAAATATGCATTCTCCGACAGGAATCGAACCTGTGTCCCTATACGTATATTTTCTACGTATATTTTCTAATGTTTGATATAATAAATATATACATATATGTATATGATATAAAGATATGTAATTTTGTATAATTTTACATATCAACAAACTGCATTTAGAAAAATAGCATAACAAATTGTAAAAAAAAATTTTGCGACGCGTTTCGTCATTTAGGATTTCATCGGACTTGGCTAATGTTGCCACGTCCACCAATACGCACGAACTCCATCTATAAGAAAATTACTTTAGTCTGATAAACAAAACGTGTTACATAGATTTTTTTTCCATTTTGTTATTCAATTACACAATGTTGTTTTGACATATAGAACTTCATATATATATATATATATATATATATATATATATATATATATATATATATATATATATATATATATATATATATATATACAATATATATATATATATATGAATAAAATAATAAAAGTAAAACTTATCTTACCCAATGCGTTTCGTCCGCTGATAGATTTTATCAAGGCATATGTAAGGATTTTATTTTGTAACAACCATTTTTAAACAAAGTAAAAATGTGTATTTTTCAATATTTTTAAATTTAAGAAATGCTAACTAAAAAATCTAGTTAAAATATGGAAGATGCTAAGTGACATAATTTAATGCTTAATAAATAAAAGTGAATAAATGATGTGCTGTTGATTTTTTTAATATTTAAATTATTTTAGTTTGTGATTAATTTATGCATTTTTTTTATTTTGTTTACTGTCGAAACTGTTAAATGTAGCCGTCTCTTCTACTCCAATAGCTTCAGGTCTCGCACTTCTCGCCTGTGGAACTCCGTCCCCATTTCTTGTATTCCTGATAGCTATAATCTCCAACTATTCAAATGTAATGTCAATCGACATCTCCAGATGCCTTGATCTATCCCCTATCCTTCTCTTCATCCTTTCCTCTATCACTCCTATTTGGTCTCACTCTAATTCTCTGTAACCCCTTGTGTGCTAGTGGCTTGCCGCCTTGCTTGGGGTGAAACGCTTAAAAAAACAAAAAAAACATAATTTTTAAAAATTTTCAGTTATCTGTTCTGAATAAGACTTGTGTTTTTATGTCCATCGTATTTGTCATATTGAACTGAATTGTATTTTGATGAATATTGTCTTGAAAAAGGTTTAATAAACCGAAACGTCAGACGTTGACATTTCTTTCATTTAACTACATTTAAGGATTTTTGTTTGTTTTTTCAAAATTTCTTCATAATAGTGTATAATAGTATATATATATATATATATATAATAGTGTATATAATATATATAATAGTGCATGTAATATATATAATAGTGTATATATGATATAATATAATAATATAATGAGATGCATCCCACCCCATTTGAACAGAACAAGAAAATAAAGTTAAATATTTATTATAAAAAAATAAAAAAAAAATCTCGCACCATCGCCAGGAACAATGACAGACATGTAAGATTCAAATTCTAGCAGACTATTACTATTTATGAGTTTCCCACACTTAGGAACTGCGTTCCTGGCAAAAGCAAATTTTTGAATAATTCTACCGGACACTCCTTTACATGTTTATCAAGTAGACTCATGTTATATCTCAGACTATAACTCAATTAGGAGCCATTTAAACAAAAACGAAAACCTAGCAAACTCCCTCCGCAACATAGTTGTAAAAAACATGACCATGTAAAATAAAAGCTGAAAATAATGGAAGCATTAACAATAAAATAGAAAAAAAAAGCCAATAGTCAATAATCTCAACGATGAACACAGCCACAAGGTGTTTGGAGAATAAAAGATCCCATCACTATTGATACACATATATAAAATCTACATAATAGTCAATTTAAAAATATCTTGGTAAGAGTGGCGAAAGCTCTCCGATATATAGAATATTTGGATAGTTTTTACGAACACTAATGTCGAGAAATGAAAACATTTTTAAGAATTCAAGAAAATTACTTTATTTGTCACCTTTCATGAACCTTTTATAGAAGAAGGACT